ATCCATCCATCCATCCATCCATCCATCCATCCATCCATGCATCCATGCATCCATGCATCCATCGTGTCAAGCACACTTGAGCTCCCTCACTTCTCAGGAGTGTTCTGGCTGGACTTCATCCACGGCAGGTCCGTGTGTTCTTTTGGCAGTTTCAACGGTACTCTCAATCTTCTTTGCCAGTGCCCTAGTACAGAGCCGCAGTCTGTGGTGGTTCTGACCCACAGCCCCCCATGTACCACAGAAGGAAAACGCTGCGGGGTCCTGCACAGCCTCACAGTCGCTACTGTGCCTGAGCCCCGTGTTGCAGTCACTAAAATTCTTCTGTGAAAACCATTTGATTCTTAGCATTTGATTGTAGTTCTAGTACAAGATGCCAGGTGTGTATATGATGAATTAGGGGGCCTGAAGCCAAAAAAGGTTGTCGAGTAAGCATTGGACTGTTAGTTCAGTGGTTCAAACCCACGAGCCACTCTGAGGGAGAGAGATGAGGCTCTTGGCTCCTGTGAAGATTCACACAGCCTTAATGACAGTGGGTTTGGATTTCTGGTTTGGCAGTACAGGGGGATAAGTGTTGGGCAGCTAAATGCCAAGGTCACCTGTTCAACCCCACCAGCTGCCACTCAGGAGAGGGATGAGGCTGTGTATGCCTGTAAAGATTAGCAGTCTCATGGACCCCACAGGAGCAGCCTGACTGTCCAGTAGAGCTGCTATGCATCACAGTGGACGCGGTGGCAGTGGCTTGGTTCAGGTTGGTATGTGTGGAATTAGGGCACCAGCTCCAGTTTGTGTTCTTTGAAGAAAAGTCCAGACTTTTCTTTGGCTGGTTGGTAATAGAGGTGCTAACATTTCCATTAGGGTTGTGGATTTTGAGCAGGCTTGTTCTCGGGCGGGGGGGGGAGGTGGTGAACTGTCCCACCTCAATGGCCGGATCCCCCATTCCCCGCAGGTCCCTGGGACTTTTCTGTGGGAGCCTTTGTCTGGGGCCCTCTGTACTCAGGGGAGACCCTTCCCTCAATCTCTCCACTCCCCAAACTGATACTTTGCCACAGTCTCCCTCAGGGTCTCCAGGACAGACAGGGCTCGCCCAGTGTGCCAAGTGAGGTCACTGTCACCTGCGTCAGGGAGGACAGGCTTTCTGTTCCTGTAAAGGGCTACTCTCAGAAACCCACGGGGGGGCAGCTCTCCCCTGACCTGCAGGGTCGCCGTGAGTCAGCATCAACTCACCGGCAGTGAGCGGCGTGGAGGGAGGAGGAAGGGGCAAAGACTCCAAGTCCAGGTGAGGGGAGGGATTGTCCCCAGCTTGGACGGTGGCCTGTGCCCCTCACCTTTCCTCCCATATCTTTTCCTCCCCTATGCCAGCTGCTGCCTCCTAGGCCCCGGAACCAGCCACCCAGTCTAGTAGTCATGGACTGGTACAGCTGTTACTGGGGCCACAGTGGGGGGCTGTAGTAAACTCAGTTACTCTCAAGTGGGGAGGCAAGGTGAACTCGGGGTGCTGGCTCTCAAGGAAGGCTGCCTCTGACCTCCCCGCGGTAACCTCCCTGTGGCCTGGTAACTGTCTTCCCTTATCTCGGCTCTTTGATACCTCAAAGGCTTAACATAGCCTGCATCAGTAGGGCTTTTTACATAACCACCCACCTCCCAGCGGGATTAGGACCACTGGTGTCAGAGGTTAGGATGTACAGATTGTATTTTGGGGTGACGCACAGTTCGGGCTGGACCTGCCCTTACCCTGCTGCCTGGCAGGGCCAGCTTTGTGGCCTCATTTCTGGAACCTTGAGCTACATGCTCGGCCTGGCCTATTGCATGGCGGTCATGTTTCTTGCTCACATGGGGGTGATCTCTTACTCTTGAGTCGTCCATTCTCCTAGGGAGAGTTCTTGCTTCCTCCTGTTCCCTGTTGGTGAAGTCATCCAGCATTTAACAGGCTGTGTGCAGGCCGGTGGTCGGAGTCCTGTCCAGTTCTCTGAGATCCTCCCTCTTGTCGGAAGGGCTGCCGCCCCCTTCTCTGCTGAGCCCCTGGTCCTGAGCTCCATCCTGTATCTTTCTGCCACGCTCCCAGGTGGGACTCGGGCCATCTGAAAGGTGTCTCTGATGACCACTTGTCGTGAAAAGCCCCCCACGGCGGTTTCACCCCCAAGACCAGATCTTTAGGAGGTTGACCCACGTTCTGGCTTCAGCTGACTTCTGTTTCTCTGCATAATCCCACCTCATGCTGGGTCCTCAGGCGCCTGAACTTGAGCCTTTGCTTTATAACAGCCCTTCTGCCCATGACTGTGCTTCTTGCCCGCCTCCTGGACCCCACTGGCCTTCATGAGAGTCCCTTGCAATTGGCTCAGTGTCGGCCTGGGGTCAAGGTGGTGCAGAAGTGGGGAAGGACTCAGCTGTTGATTAGAGGGGCCCTGACCTTGGCCTGAGGCACACCGCCTGGCTCACCAGAAATCTGGCCTTTTTGGTGAGTGCTTGTGACTCCAATCTGGGTGCTTCTTTGTGCCCCCCCAGTGAGCTGGGGACATGTCACCCTTGCCACCCCATCTCCTCCAGACACCGCCCTCTCATCCCAAGGAGCCCTGCAGACTCCATTCCCAAATAAAACGGTTGTTCTGGGAGACTCCGAAGGCAGAAAGTGTTGCTAATCCCCCGAGGACTTTGCTCTCATTATGGGGAGGCTGAAAGGAGCTCATTTCTGGAGGAGGGGCAGTGAAAAGGAGGACGGCCCCCCACGAGATGGATTGACGCAGTGGCTGCAGCAAGGGGCTCCAGCAACAATTGTGAGGGTGGCATGGGCGGTGCAGGACGGGGCGGCATTGTGTCCCGCTGTGCGTGGGGGAGGGGGGGTGTAAGTCTGAGCAGACTTGATGGTACCTCACCGCAGTAGAAGCTGGTCTCCTCTGCGCCTGCTTGGTTGCCGGAACTTTCTAGAGCAAGCTGCCCCTGGGCTTGTGTCCATCCAGGGGTTTTATTTAAGGTTCTTACGGTTTTTAGGTGTCAGGCCATGTTACTAAGCTTTTCAAAATTACAGATACCTTGGTTTTTAATTCTAAGAGACTTGGAGTACCAATGGGCGAGCGGGTGGCGCTGTTGGGCAAGCTTGGATGGTTCAGACCTACCAGCCACCCGCACAGGTGGACAACCCTCTATGAGGGTCCATGTGATTAGGCCTCGATTGTTGGCGGTGGGTGCTTTTCATACAAGGCTATGGGGCGGTGCTGTCGGGGCAGCATTGGGCTGCTGACGGCGAGGTTGGTGGAACTGACCCTCCAGCCAGTGAGGCTGCCGGCTTTCTCAGCGATGTTCCAGCCTCAAACCCTGGCCGGGGTTGACTCGGTGGCTGTGGGTTGTGGGTGTTTGGGTGCTTTACACACATAGCCAACTGTAACCGGTGTCTGCTCTTGCTCTCTTCCAGGGCAGTCCAATGGACCCGATGGTGATGAAGAGGCCGCAGTTGTACGGGATGGGCAGTAGCCCTCACTCGCAGCCCCAGCAGAGCAGCCCCTACCCTGGCGGGTCCTATGGGCCCCCCGGCCCCCAGCGGTACCCCATTGGCCTCCAAGGCCGCACCCCAGGGGCCATGGCAGGGATGCAGTTCCCTCAGCAGCAGGTTTGTGGAAGTTTTCATTGCTTTTTGCTTGGGTAACGCTTTTGTGTTGGCCTTTGACTTTCTACTTGAGGTTGTTACTGAGAGGATGAGTGGGGACATCACCCGTTTTCTGCTGCCCTTTCCTGCCCACTGTTTCTTAAAATCATCACCGGGACCTTTCTCATTCAGTTTTTTTAAGCTGGGGAGACACCGTCTTTAGAACCAATACTTGTTTGGTAGAAGGCCCATGTGAATGAACTGTATTTGGCAGTTGGACTGGGCTGGGCACCTGCAACAAGGTGTGTGTGAATGTCAGGTGTGACGTGAACGTGACTTTCAGACCCCGCGGTTTGTGTCACACCCTGGGATGTGTCAGCTGGAGCTGGAAACACGGGCACTCTGGGTGGGAGGGTCAGGTCGTCGCAAGGTCTGTCCATCAGTTTAAGACAAAAGTTATTTTGCTTTCATCCTGTAATGTATTGATTCGTTTATACCTCTTGACAAAGGTTCCTATATTTCATATCAGAGAGGCACTGTGTGTGGTTTTCATGGATCTTGCATGTTTACTTAAAACAAATGAGAGGAGACTTTTTTGATGCTCTGAACAGCAAGTTCCAGTCAGTGCCTCCTCTTTCTCAGGAATGAGGTAGTTGGGGTAACCCCACCTTTGACCTTGCACCTCCAGGCCCTGAGGCTTTTGAGAGCACCTGTCCTTGTGAGTTGGTGTGAGGAAGCACACACGGAATTTGGAAAAGATATTGGCTTGAGGCCCATTGAGTAGGTATCCCATGGAGGCCGATTGGACCGTAGGTTTAGCCTTGTGGGCTTGCCTCAGGCCTGGCAGACAAACCTCTGCTGGTCTCCAAACACGCTTCTCATCATAGCACGTTCTCCACCCTTCCTGGTCTCTGTAAGGGGAGAAGTTCTTTCTCATACTTTACCTGAGGCATAGCTAGCTGTGCCCCAAACTTCATGCGTATGCTGCCTCTGAGCCATTTCTTCCAGAGACCAAATGGCATCTGGCCTTTGTGTCCTTGCTTCTAGTCTTTGATATTTTTATTGCAAGACGAAGGTGGGAAAAGACCGCAGTAGCTTGGCCTTTGAACTCTTCTAGCTGCTGATTTCCCGAAACAGCCCCGTGCAGGCTCCCCCCCTCCCCCCATCAACAAGTCCTCACAAACACCCACATGCCCCTCCTCTCAGTTCTAGGGCAAGTACACCCTTACTTGAGGGCCCAGAAGGAGTGTGGTCTTGCCCTTGTAGCAGTGGTTCTCCACCTTCCTGATGCCACGACCCTTTAGTACAGCCCCTCATGTGGCGGTGACCCCCACCCATAAAATTATTTTCATTGCTACTTCATCACTGTCATATTGCTACTGTTTGAATCCGGTGACTCCTGTGAAAGGGTCCTTTGACCCCCAAAGGGGTCTTGATCCACAGGTTGAGAAACGCTGTTTTAGAGAGTTCTGCAAGATCCCCCTGCCACGGGAGCTGAGTAGAAGGTGGGACCAGTGTGAGAAGAAGGGTGCTCACCGGTCCTCATTTACCACCCTCCTGCTCCTCCCTTTTCCCTGATGGAAAATGGGAAAACCCAGCACTGTGGGCCCCTTTACTGTAATTTGGGTTTTCTCTAAATGAGCTGAAGTCTTCCCAGAGGTTTGGGACATTGGCTTGATGGAAGCCAAGCAAACAGAGGGGACGTGTGGAGAAGACAACACAGAGAAAACATCTGTGTGGTATGTTCTCCCCCAAATGTGTGAGGCCGGGGAGCAGAGGACGTGGACACACGCGTGATCACACGGGCTGTTGGTCCCCGTGTTCCTCACCTCCTGGCTCTGTTCCATCTCATGGCCGGGTAGACTTGAGATCCCGTCGTCGCTCCTGGGTTTCTTGGGAAGGACAACAGGACAACATTTTTTCAACGAAGATTTTTCCGATGAGATCTTTCACTGCTCACCAGAAGAGATGCCCAGCTCTAATTGAGCCCTGATCCTTCTGATCATGAAAGGAAAGTGGCTTCTTTGGTGAGACTCCGCAGTGCTGGCTGTAGTCTCCATACCGTCTTCGTCAGAATCAAAGATTTAAAATAATCCAAGCGATTGCCTTTCCCCACTTCCGTTAGCCAGAAGGCAGCTGTGGGAACTGTGGCATTTTGTCTCCAAGTTCGAAGGCTAACATGGGCACGCATGCATTTTCCAGCATCCTAAAGGAGGGGGGTAGACGGGTCTGAAAGCACCAAATTCATGGGTACCTAGTGGATATCATTTTAAATTGGGACGGGGGCAGTTAAAATTTTGAGTAAACGTTATTAGCGCTTATACACTGGGTTCACTGGCTCTAGTCTGTGCTCTGTGTGAGAAAGAGGCTTTCCGCTCCGATAAGGATCGGCAGCCCGGTAACCCACAGGGCCGTTCTACCCTGTCCGTCTCGACTCAGTGACAGGGAGTTTGGTTTTGGAGGGAGTTGTGTTCTTGGTTAAGAATTACCAGCGTTGCTTTCTTTGCTTAAGGTTTGGATACTTAGAAATTTGTCCCTACGCAAGGTTCCGGCCCAGCGATTGGCTGCTGGCTGCACCCTGCATCTGCTGGCATCCGTGTGATTGGCTGAGCTTTGTTTGCTTTCCAGCTTCTGAAGTTCTTCGGGGAGAAGAAAGAGGTTGAGCGATGATTGGGACATTGGGTTTTTGTTGGGTGGCCATCACCACCTAGGCATGCCTCGGCTTTGGACGGCCTCCAAAGCTGCCTGTGTTTGGTTTGTGAACCTCTAATGAGTTGAATCCAGCTCATCTAGTGTCACTCATAGACTTCCGCAAAGGATTAGGTTGCAGGAATTCCTGTTTGTAAATTAAGTTGCCCACTCACCAGCTGAGTGGTAAGTTGTCTTTGGCTCAGGGGTCACAGTTGGGTTCTTGGCCTGTGTTCCACTCCTGTGACATGAATTTTCAATGAGCATCCTTTCCCCAGAACTGCAGCATTGGTCTGAAATCGTAGTGGGCAGAGGTACAGCCTACCTGTTCTGCCTCTTGCCAGGGAGAAGGAACCATTCTTCGAGGGTTTGATTTGAGCCTTAGCCTTGCGAATCTTGATTTGGATGGCGATGATTTTGGTTTAGAAACGTATTGGGTCTTGGAAGCATGATGTGATAGCTGTACATCATTTTGGTCTTTATTACCTAGAGCGAGGTTTGTAACCTTCCCCAGATCATCAGGCAGATACACGGCTAAACAGATTAGATTTGCACGGTGCCCTCAAAATCGAGTTCACTTGGGTGTGATTGAACCAAGAGGGGGAATGCATCGTCTTCCTCTGTGGAAAAGGTTCTGCCCGGGGCGCCTGACTCTCAGACCTCGCGGTGCTTAACTGAAGCCCAGGGGGTACTGACTCAGAAGATGGACATGCCATCTTTTAGGGCCCTAGAAACTCACTCTTTCTGAGGTTTTCGGGTTTTGCTGTGTTTTGAACAGAAAAGACACCACGGTATTGTTGGCAGCATCACGTTCTGGTGAGCGATCGTGGTCTTTCGTTATCCACGCCCTCGCTGACCCCAAGTGTGCAGTGAACCTGCAAGCCCCGGGCTACGTGGCCCTTGAAACTAAGGCGTATTGACTCGCGCCCGGCGAATCTAGCTGGAGTTGTCTGAGTGGCCCCCAAGTTACTGGGTTGATGGTGCGACTTTGCTTGACGCAGCTGTTTGTATAAGCGGATGCCTGTTGGAATTACAAAACCGGTGAAGGGACAAGAAGGCAGCATTGTGGGGGCCTCCTCAATGGCACTGCCTCCTCTGGCTGGTCTTTCAAAACATCTCCGGCCTCTTGGAGATCTTTATGAGCGCAGGTTCATCCACGCGGCGGCGGAATGAGGCATCCTGCTGGGTGGCGCAGCAGGTTAAGTGTTGGCCAGGCAGCCTGCTTCCTTGAAGGTTTGCAGAGGGGCAGTCTGCTCTGCCTTGCAGGGTCCCCGTTGGAGCCAGTGCCCCGGCATTGGGTGGTGGTTGTGGTGCCAAAAGATGAGGTGGAGGCTAGTTAGTTGTGTGGGTGTGTCCCCTGAGCCGACTGCCTGCACTCGAAGGAAAACAGACGGGCTCTTTTGAAGAGGACTTGACCAGTCAAGAGGCGCTCTCATCCCGGCTGAAGCGGCTGCTTGTCAGCAGCATCTGCTGGCATTGCTCCGGCGTGCTTTTTGAGTTACTGTATTTATTTCCGAAGGCAGGCATTGCCCTTGGTACCATCTCCACAGCCGAAACACTTCTCCCAATGCCCATGTTTATTTTGGCAGCAGATGTTTCCAGAAGGAGACAAACAATGACAATTGTTTGGCCAAAACAAATGTTGTCTGCGGGGTTCGTGAGATGCCAGGCAATCTGTAGGATTCCCACCTGGGCTACTTCACGCTGCCAGCCTCTTCCGGAGGAAATGTTTGCTCGTTGGCAATGTGGTTAAATTCCTGTTTTGAGAGCACTTGAGCAGTATCTCTGAAAAATAAGGATGAACCGGACGGGGACTGACAGTGGTTAAAGTTGAAACATCCCAGAGTTCTTTGAGCTCTGAAAGAGATGGTTGGGTGTGGGGGCCACTTCTCCATGAGGAAGCGGGCGTGGATCCTTTGTTTTCTTTGTGGACATTGACATGGTTCTAGGTGGCCTGTAGTTCTTAGACAGCATAGACAGTGCCTGTTCTCTGCTGGTGGCTTGCACTGCCGTGCATATATGTGAATAGTGTTTCTGTTTACACTTGGCTCCCTGAGCCCTAAATATAAACCTGTTAGAACAACAAAGAGCCCTCAGCCCATTGTCGTTGAGCCACTTCCAGTTCAGGGCAGAGTAGAACTGCTCCCTGGGGTTTCCAAGTTTGGAATCTTCATGCGGGTGCATTCAAACCCCAGCTTCTCCGTTAGCAGGCACACACTTGAACTACTGCATGATCGGGGTTCCCGTGAATGCATTAAACCCACCACCCGTCAGGCTGATTCCAACTCATAGCAACCTTATCCATGTAGGGTTTCTAAGGCTGTAAATCTTTACAG